TGTCTCTCACACTATAGTTTCTTGCTTTTTTTTGTCCAACAAATGGTACCCCTTCAGGAAGAACAGTTCTATTCTCACATCTTCATAGTCCTACTTCTAGCCTGGCAATGAGGATATTCTACTAAGAAACTGAAGCAGGATGTTCAAAGTGCTTCGAATGACAGAGAATCTGTTGTTCATATTCTAAAGGTGTGCAACTCTAAACCTAGTTGCAACTCTTAGCCTGGAAACTCTTGTGCCAGGCTTCTATGTAACACAAGGATGGGTCTTTTCCCCTCCACAACTAGCACCTTCCTGAAGGACAAACACTAGCACTGATAGTTCTGTGTTGGACTCTGGGCTGGGGTTACATGCTAAATGTGGATTTTTCCTATTGCGGAGCTAAAGACAGCCAACCCTAGCAGATGGTTCAGTTGAGTCAAGATAGGACAAGTAAGACAATTCCTGTGAAAGTGTTCTTCCTTATCCCTTTTACCTCTGTATTACTTCCTCGTTTAGAGGCATTACGAATTTCAGGGTGAGCTGTTTCTTCTCCTTCCAGGTAAACATCACGGTAAATTTAAAGCTCTGGCATCAGCTATGTCATTTACACGCATATACTACAATATCACCTGTGTTGTGACTGTAATCACTGTGTTTATAACATTTAAGCCGACAGACGATACAATAGAACAGATTGGAAAGATATTGTGCCCTTAACAGTCTGGCTTCTGCAATAAAACGATACATTAGATAAGCAACACACCATGTTTTGCACTGATGTTTCTGCACAGTTTTATATTTTCAGTATTATCGTTAGCTAAGCAGCTTCTGCAGTATGTCTTTATTTACACTCATGCAATATCTTCAAGGGTAGCATCCAAGAGCAGATGTCAGACTTTCTATCCTTATAACAAAAGCTTCTAGCCTATGATAAACATATAAAAGGAAATGTTCTTAAGAAGGCTGTCAGGTCCTTGCCCTTCTGGAGCCTGAGAGTCATGTAGCACCCAGCAGAGTCAATGGAAATCTTATCATTAATTTCAGTGAGCTTTGGATTAGTCCTTCAAGTTTCTGTAGTAGTCCTGATCAGCCACTGTACAAAATGTTAATGAGTTGAACAATGTCCTTAGAAGCTAGAAAGACAGAAGATACTGTTTCATCTATCCATTTCTGACAAGGGTGAAGGGCCACGACAGAGGAATGTACAGAGATACCACACAGTGTCTCAAAATGGGAAATGAAAATGCTCATTAAAAATCCACAGGGATTTAGATGGGTGAGTTGCTATTGGTTCTCTAATAATTCCTCTTAAGGATAAATCCATAAGAGGAATTAGAAGAGAGATAATGACTGAGGTTGATATACATTTGCTGAAACTTCTTTGCTGTCTGTCAAGACCATGCTTGTAGGCTTTTAAGCATTTCAGTGCCACTCCTTACGTGGAAAACCACCAATGAATATTTAAAAGTAATTTCAATATAAATCACAGCTAATCATTTTAAAGTCTAAAATAAAATTATTTTCTCACAAAGCTAACTCATTGCCACAGCAAATTCTGGATAATAAAGATATAAAAATGGGTTCAAAAAGTAATTAGGCATACTTTTGGAAGAAATGTTCATCTAGCAGTATTAAAAATAAATGTGCGGATAAAACTGAGCCTCCTGAAGTTTCTATGAAAAATGTTTGTGAGAGGACACACTTAGGAATGCTATTTCCTAAGCACCTGCTCGTGGCCTCTCTCATAGATAGTGGTTTAGATAAGCTAAATGTCTTGCTTTTTCAGTGTGAACCCAAAACTGTCTGCTACTAGGCAAAACAGCACATTTTAAAGGTTATGATTGTCACGTAGGGAGACAGAAGTTAAGGAAGAGAGAACAAAGATAGATAAAGACATAAACAGATCAGTTGTGTATTAGATGGAGGTGTCTCACAGAGACATGCATAGTTCATGTTACTCATTTGCAACAGAAAAAAATACTATTAAAAGATAGCAAAAAAAAGCCTACTGGGAAAAAAAACTAACTAGAAGTAACATTAGGTTTAAGGTAAATAGTCCCATATGTCTAGATTTGGTAAGGTTTTGAACATTGTGTTGTCATTTGCCAAGATCATATGTCTTGGAATCCGTATACTGTTTAAATCTTGGAAAAATTACAAATAGCCATGTCCCTTCTCCCAGCAGGAAAGCCTGGATGGAAGAAGTTCCTCACTGTTCTCATATTAATACTTTCTGTGCAAAAATTGAAAAATGTTATGATACCTATTAACTTTGTGAACCCTCAAATTATTTCCTAACAAAAAAAGAAATGATACTTGAGAAAATACAAACACTTTCAGACTATCACAGCATGAATTATTGTTGATACTAAAATCTTTCATGTTTGTTTATCTGTACACTCTCAAACAATTTTTTCCAATACATTGCATATTTTGCAGTATATTATGGAAACAATAAGCAACTGGAACAATCTCTGTCAAAACTTTGGGAAAGTGAAATCATACATTGCATTTTTCAGCAAGATATGATGAAGAAATTTTCATTTAACACAAGAATCATTGGATGAAATTCTGATATTGTTACACTTAATACTAGACTGGATTAATGATATTATTCTTTTTTGCTATAAAATCTATTAACTGATTAAATTGCATACTTCAGGTTTAGCATTATAGATATAGATAGATTTCACACATGAAAATGAATTTGGAATTTTAAACACATGGAATCTGACATACCCTACTAAAAATCAATAAAGCTACACGAGGAATTTAAAAGCACTGGTTTAGTTCCAACTAGCCCCTTGATTCCTTCACAGCTATCAAGAAAAAAAAATCCTACTAAAGGGAAAACTATCACTTACTTCAGTGCAGCCAGAATCACACTATATCTGCTGCATTTGATTGTGCAATTTTATGTGTAGATTCTTGTTCATAAAATAGTCATATTTCTACTTTTTTCCACCTGTGCCTTCTAATATTTGCATAACAAAATCAATTGCATCTTTTAGGCCACTTCTCACATTGCAAGCTCTTAAGTAAAATATTTTCACAAGTCCTTGGTTAGTATCAGTACTGAAATATCCTTTTCCAAAGACATTTAATTAAGAAACGTAAAATATTTTTCCCCAGATGAATTTATTGCCTACCTTAACATACTTATGACCATAATTACAAATATAACTGCTTGATAATGATCTCAGGTATTTAATTTATTATTTTATCTATTTGTGGACTAATTTGTCCGCATTTTGTAACTTATCATCAAGGTTTTTCCATCTTTCCAAATTAAATTAGTTTTAGAGTCATATAATTTGCTCTTGTTCTTCTAGCAACCTTGAAAATTTCCCCATAAATCTCAAAATAAATTGTTCTTTACATTATTAATATCCAGTCAAACATCTGTTTTGAATGCTCTCTGAACACACCGAATCAGTGTTTCCAGTGGCCGTTTGTTTGCATACTCCATTCACAACAGCAAGAGCAAAATGATATACTGGACATCAAATCTACTTTAACAACCAAATGCTGCAACCTATTGGTCATGTGGCCATGGATGACAGCTAAGTTAGCATATACTTTCTTTAGCCATGAATTTGGAAGATAAGTAACCAAAACTCTACTTTGAGCAATGAGTCATATCATAGGACTGTCTCTTCTGTATGCCGCTAACTTTCCTTGCATCTACCTATGATAGAGAGCAAAGCCTGATTCCTTAGGAAGGACCTTCCTCTTAAAAATTGGATGCAGCAGCAATGGATGTCTAATCAATGCAACTGTGACATAAATATGCTGTTCTGCTCTTGTGCACATAGTTGTTTGGGAATTTTATAGAAAGTCGAGTATAAGGACTAAGTAATTTGGCCTACAAGCTCCTACCTGCTGTGACTGTTATGTGGGCAACTTTGTTTTCATCTGCATCTTGCAGGAAGATAATAGGACTCTGATGGGATTGACCTTGGCCAGCAGCCAGACCCCCACCCAGCCGCTCTCTCACTCCCCTTCCTCAGCAGGGTGGAGGAGAAAGTAAGATGGAAAGCTCATGGGTCAAAATGAAGACACGGAGGTCACTTATCAATTAGCATCACAGGACTCAGCTTGGGAAAAAATTAATTTAATTTATTGCCAATTAAAAATACAGTGGGATGGTGAGAAACAAAGCCAAAAGCTAAAGCAGCTTCCCCTCACCACCCCCCTGTTCCAAGACCCGATTTCACTCCTTCAGTCCTGACTCCTCTACCTCCTTCCCCCAACCCCAAGTAGCTCAGGGGGATAGGAAACAGGGGTTATGGTCAGGCAATAAAAGCTGTTGCTCCTTCCCTCTCACACTTTTACCCTGTTCCAGTCTTTCAGGACAAACCTGCTCCAGCGCAGGTTCTCCATGGGCTGCAGCTTCCTTCAGGGCACATCCACCTGCTCTGGTGTGGTGTCCTCCGCAGGCTGCAGTGTGGATGTCTGCCCCAGCATGGTCCTCTCCATGGGCTGCAGGGGAACAATCTGCATCACCATGGCCTCCTTCCAGGAGCTGCAGAGGAAGCTCTGCTCCAGAGCCTGGAGCGCCTCCTCTCCCTCCCTCTCCTCTCACCTCGGTATCTGCAGGGCTGTTTCTCACGCTCTGATTTTTTCTCTCCTCCTCTGCCTGTGCAGTGTTTTGCTCTTTCATAAACGCTTTTCCCCCGAGGCCCCACCACGGTGGCTGCGGGGCTCAGCCGTGCCCTGCGCGGGGTCGGTCGGGGCCGGTGGAACCGGCTGTGTCCAGCCACTGCCTCGGCTAGCAGGGCTTCTTTTGAGCACATCTTCGAGGGTTACATTTCTTTTAATGATTTTCTGTTGCTATGGATACAGTGTGCCTACAACTCACTGGTGCCCAGAGAAGTGGGGCTCTGCAACAAAAACTAGCATGATTTTTTTTTAACTGCACTTCTTGATGGGGCCTAACGTCCAGGAAGTTTTCCAGAGACTGTCACAGCCTGTCCAGCCCTTAGACTACTGTCCCCGATTGCTCCAGCCATATGGCCATGGCGGTTAGTAACGACATCACCAAGGAAGACCTGGAGTGTGTCAGGCATGACTACATGGCTCCTGGGGTAATGACTGAGGGCATGGTGGCCCAGGGTTCTTTCTCTGTAATCCTGCTGGTGAGAGGGAAGAGCTCAAGGAAGAGCAGATGGGTCTTGTGGGTAAACAACTGGTTGCACAACTAGTATCGACAACAGCGATAAAGATGGAGAGTGCAGTGATGGGGATAGGAAAGCTGTAGTCCATCTGCAGTTGAATCTAGACAATGTTACTGAGGCCACTTTCAATTATCTTTAAAAGGTCCTGATGACTAGGATAGGTACCTGAGGACTGAAGGAGAGCAAACGTCACTCCTTTCTTGAAGAAGAGCAAGAGGGAGGACCCACAGAATTACAGGACAGTCAGTCTCACTTCAGTACCTCAGAAGGCGATGGAGAAACCCTCTTGGAAATCATTTCCAAACATATAAAGAACAGAAAGCGGGTGGGGAGTAGTTAGCATGGATCTGCAAAGGGGAAATAAGACCTGTCCAACCTCATAGCCTTCCA